AAGAGCGGTAACACAGATGCGAATGACTCCAGCACTTCCAAAAATGAACTAGCGCCATCTGCTGCAAAAATGCGTCATGACTTTTCCGACAACCCGACATAAAGCACCATGAGCCTGACATCCAATTCCAGAACACCCGACCAGGCTCCAGGCAAGGCCCGTCGTATTCCTGTGCTCAGATTTATCACATGGGAAGCCAGAGAGGCTAAGCAAAGACTGACGCTACTTCATCACATGTACAGGTGAACACACGTATGAAAACCCAGGCACACTCTACTCAGGAAACGCTACTGCAACTCCTGGGTTAGAAACCTGACACGCGACTACTCATTCCCTAAAGGAAAACCGACAGACTAAGTACATTCATTATAAAAATCTTATTTTACCTCCAGATACAAGCACGCCATCGGAATTTACTGTCAATGTGTTAATAATGGCATTATGACCAGAAAGATTCTGAATGAAACTTCCATCAGGGAATTTCCACTGTTTTATGTTATCTGGAGAACCAGACGCAAACGTGTAACTGAAATAAGATGGAAAAGAATTAATGGCAAGGAAATCAAGTTAAATAAAATGACGGGCTTTTAAAAGCTTTTGTACATATACTCAATCTGTGTAACATCAGCAAAATACTACTGTCCTAGCAAGCAAGAAGTAAAAAATATCAAGGCATTTGCTCCAAGTCGAATCGAACTTTCAAAAAATTTTAACTGCATTTGAAATCAGAGAGTCAAGTTTTACTCTCGTCTCCCCAGTGCTCCGCACTGACTGGAGCAGCAGGTTCCAAATGCCTTCTCTCACAGAGGAGGCGAAGGGTCACGCTTCTATCTTGGCGAGAGGGAGGGCAAGACGGGGAAAAGGACTGCAGAAAAGAAACAGGAGGCAAGTGGACCAGAGCGAGCAAGCGAGCAAGCGAGCAAGGGGAAGAGAAGGAGCCAGGGAGACAGAGAAAGGGAGGAAGGAGGAGGAGGGAGAAGAGTAGGGGGAGGAAGAGGGAGGAGAGAGGAGGGCAGGAGGGGGAGAGAGGGGGACCGGAGAGGGAGAGAGGGGAGCAGGGTGAGGAGGAGAGGACTGTGCCCAGGAAGGTTTGGGGAGAGCTCAAACATGCAGGGCGCTGGCACCGGGCTCCACTTTATACCCAGCCACTGCACCCTCCTATTCTGACACGCAGCATTTAACCGTGACTTTTCATTGCCGCGTTTTCCACTATTCATTTGTCACTATGCAGAAGGGCCTCCCCATCTTACGTGGCCATAAGCAGAGTGGTACACAAGGAGAATAAAGGAAGTGCACGCTCCTGAGTGGCACAGCCCGGAAAGGACAGGCACCGACAACTCCCACACGCAGACCGAGAGGTGGTGTCCCCAGCACCACACCAGGACTTGAAGGGGAAAGAGAAGCTAATCAGGAAGACACACGTACTGTCGTGGGTGGAGAACCACAGCCCGGACCGACTTCTTGTGATTTGTTAGGGTCACTCTTGTTTTCCCAGCCACCAGATCCCACAATCGTATTGTAGTGTCATGGCTTCCTGTAATGAAAACACACCCACTTCTCAAAACACAGACAAGAAAAGCAATGCGAGGGTTCAGTAGAATAAGATACAGAGTGTTCTTCTACACACACACACTGAAACGCACATGAAAGTCGAACCGCTTCTTGGCTAATTTCTTCATAGTTCCAAAATCCCTGATTTATTTTAAATTTAATTAAAAATGCAATAACACTTTTATTCATTGTCAACTGAATAGCTAGAACAAATGCAAATTACGAATGAAACAAATATATGATTTTATGTACCAGTAGCAGGGAAGGGAAAAATTTCAGTGATTTTTCTTTTAATTAATAAAACACATCAAGTAAAGAAATTATTTTCTAATATTAAAAGTAAAGATAACACTGGGCGGCTGCTTTTGGTTGGGGGCCGTCCTGCACCTAAGGCAGGAAGATAGTGGCTGCAAAGACGACGAAAAAGTCGCTGGAGTCGATCACCTCTCGGCTCCAACTTGCTATGAAAAGTGGGAAGTACGCCCTGGGGTACAAGCAGACTCTGAAGATGCTCAGACAAGGCAAAGCCACGTTGGTCGTCCTCACCAACTGCCCAGCTTTGAGGAAATCGGAAATAGAGCACTATGCCATGTTGGCCCCAACTGGTGCCCCTCCTCTACAGTGGGGATAATGCTGAACTGGGCATAGCACGTGGAACACACTACAGAGCATGCACGCTGGCTATCACTGAGCCAGGTGATTCCGATATCATCAGACACATGCCTGAACAGACCGGTGAAAAGTAAATCATGCAATATTTTTCTTTAATAAAGCTTGCCAGAGCTTGTTTTCTTAAAAAAAAAATAAATAAATAAAGATAACATTAAGCTTATTTTGAGCAAAATATGATATTAGAATATTTTGTTCTCTAATTTGAATTTCCTAGACCAATAAAGCTGACACTATAAAATAACTGTATTTCTTTAAAGTTATTTAATTTTATTCATTCATTCATTTTTTCCCCCATTCATTTATTTTAATTGACTAGAGAGAGACAGAGAGAGAAAAAAGTAAGAAAGCAAGCCACCAGATCTGGGACTTGAACCGTTGTCAGCCCTGTGGGAATGTCCAATGCCTTAACCACCAGTAATTACATTTTTACAAGAGGTACTTTATTTAATTTTATTCATCTTCATCATCATCATCATCATTTTTAATTTGACCATAGAGTAAGAGAGGGAGAGAGAGGGAAAGTGAGAAAGCAAGCTACCAAGTTTAGGACTTGAACCATGGCCGGCCATGTGGGAGTCCAGAGTCTCAACCACCATGCCACCTGCCAGTACCAAAATTAAACAGATGTATTTAATAGTAAAGTCTGCAGTCTAACATTACAAGATACTGTATATGAGCTATTCTATAATATTGGTTCATCAGGAAAATCATGATGCATTTTTTGCATAGAAAAACAAGAAAATACACCATGATTTTCCCGATGACCTAATATAAAAATAGTAAGAGAATTGAATGGATACATCATGATTTTCCCGATGACCTAATATATAAATAGTAAGAGAAATGAATGAAACCTTACAGTAAAGATTTACAAATACACAATAAACCTCAAACGCCCATTACTGAAATGCATAACGACACAAAAGCACTATAAATCGTGTGTAACCTAGTGAAAGGCCTACTGAACATAACCTGCAGCTACGGTTAAACACATGCTGCTGTGGTCAGCAGTAAGTTAGGAAAGTCCTCATCATACCAGTAATAATCTGTGGTTCTGCGGCCTGACACCTCACCGTAGCAACTGCATTTGTGTGTCCAGATAACGTGTGTACACTGGCTTTAGTCCTCACATCCCAGATCTGTAAAACAGCAGACGTACTGTCAAACACAACAGGTATCCTTGCCTCGGCGGGTAACCGCACCCCTCCGAGGCTGGGACTTTACTAGGCAAACGTGCGTAAGGAAAGAACGATCGATCCACAGGCTGAATGGAGGGTACAGGTAGGAGGAAGCTGCCAAGGGGGAAAAAGAGCTGGAGATCAGGGTTTTAGAAGTCTAAGAAAAGGGGAGGAACGAGCGAGAGAGACGAGCTGGAGATCAGGGTTTTAGAAGTCTAAGATCAGGGGAGGAACGAGCAAGGGAGATAACGGGCAACAGCTGTGGAGACAGACAGCATATGAGAACGCTGCAGTTCGGGGTAGACCCCAAAGCAGCAAACATGGGGGGGGGCTACAGAAGAACGAAAGCTGAGATGGAAAAACACATGTGTCAAGAGACTGAGGAGCCAGGGTCAGGGTACGGACGGTGTTGGCAGCAAAGACAACTATTTTAATTCTCCACCAAGCAACGCGGCCTCCCAATAGCAGCCACGCCCAGAGCAGCACGCTGACACCGACACACAGCCGTCTCGCTTACTCGCGCAGTTGAATCTCGACTGCAGGTCACCAGCACGTCGATCGTTGGGTGCAAGTCCAAACCGTACACCGCGCTTAGGTGGCCATGATAATGCCGTATAACCTGAAGATAAAGCAGAGCAGTGAAAAGTCCTACGATCAGAAAGATGGACAGTGGCTCGGACTGGCTGCATCCCGACCCACGGGCCCACCTTGTTATACTCCAGGTCCCAGCATTTCACTTGCTTGTCCTCCCCGCAGGAGAACAGGTATGGGCTCCGCGTGCTGACGATCACGCCCCGCACGGTGCTGATGTGCCCTGTCAGGGACAGCTTCAACTTCCCGCTAGCCAGGTCCCAGATCTGCAATCACACAATATTTCTTTCTTCTTTTCAATGGTTATGCCAAAGCATATTTTTAGAATCCTAATGTCAACTAAATCTCTTAAAAAAGATACATATGAGCTGGACGCGTGTGCGTGCGTGCCCAAGATCCCAGGAGAATGGAGGAAAAGGGATTGCGGCATGGCCTTTCCCCCTCGGGGGTGATTTCTCGCTTTCTGTCTCTCCCTCTCTCTGTCTTTCTGGCGAGCGCACACGCCCTGTAGCAAAAACCTCTCAAAAAAAAAAAAAATAAAAAGATACATCTGATACATTTTTATAAAAATGTAAAGATTTGCAAAAGGATTCCCCTCCAAACTAAAATGTAAACAAACGAACAAAGAGGTCATATTCATAGTGAGAAAGTATTTACAACGGATAACAAAAGGTTAACATTATTTTTCAGTTTTGCTGTAGGGCATGAGCGGTCGGGGAAGAGGGAGAGGGAGTGAGAAATCACTCCCCGGGAGGATGGCCATGCCACAGCCCCTTCTTTCCTATTCTCTTCTTGAGAGTTTGGGCACGTAAGCATACGCGTGTGTACACACACACACACACACACACACACACACATACACACACACAATGTGTTTTTCAAGCTGCTGGGTCCAGGACTTGAACTGTGAAGCTGGCCATGTGGGATCCAGCCCCTTAACTTCCACACCACCTACTGGTCCCAAGGTTAACAGTCCTAATGTAAAAAGGATATCCTTGATAATAAAAGAATGAATAGCATGATAGTAAAGTAGTCAAAGACAGCAATAACTTAAATCCTGTAAGTAGAAAGGAAGGTACGAAACTATTCAACCTCATGAGCTATTCTGCACAGACAGCTTTAAAAAGATGAGATCCCCTTTCACTTATCAACTACTAGAAATGTTCAAGGGATACACAATCAACATGTTCTCTTCTCTTATATTCCAAGTATCAAATCACCCATTTTGGAATTTGTACTTTAGAGTATTAGCCTTAAAAATATTTGACTTGATAATTTTATTTCTGGGAATCTACCAACAACAAAATAATTTGAAACATAGAAAGGGGCCAGTGGGTGGCATGGTAGTTAAGGAGCTGGATTCTACACGACCAATAGCATGGTTCAAGTACCATACTGGGCAGCTTGAAAAACATGTGGGGGTACAGGTGTGTGCATGCCTAAAACCTCGAAAGGAGGGATAAATGGAGGAGGAAGAATCTCAGCATGCGCATGCCCACTGGTGGGTGCTCACTTTTCTCTCTCTCTCCAGCAAGCACACACACCCTCTGGCAAATTTAAAGAAATAAATATAAGACAGAAAAATCTTTACACATGAAGATTACAGAATAACTTGAAAAACACCTTACGGACTGTCAAAATGATATAATATTATGCAACCATTTAAAAAGCTGTTAAGGGCCAGCAGGTGATGTGGAGGTTAAGGTGGCTGGTTCCTACATGGACAACTTTGCGGTTCATGCCTTGGACCCCGCAACTTGAAATTATGCCAGGCATGTGTGTGTGTGTCCAAATCCCGAGAGGAGAATGGAAGGGAAGGGACTGTGGCATGGCCATCCTCCCTGGGCTACGATTTCTCACTTACCCTTTCTCTCTCTTCATCTCTCTCTCTGGCAAGTGCACGTGCCCTATGGCAAAAGCTTAAAAGAAAAATAAAAGATGTTGAATTTTTCACAGGAAAATGACTGAGACAATGTTAAGTGAATAAAAACCAGGATACAAAATTACATATCAAGGGTGATTTTTCAGGCCAGCTCCATAGCTCAGTGGTTAAGCACAGTGCATGGTTCAAGTCCTTGCCCTGGTGGCTTAAAAGACACACTGGGTATTTGTGCATGTGCCCAAGGTCCTGACAGGATGGAGAAAAGGAGGAAAAGGGCCTGCAGTGTGACCAATCTCCCTGGGGGAGGCGCTTACTCTCTCTCCCTCTCCCCCCTTCCCACTTGGTTTCTTCTCCCTCCCTCCCTGGTGAGTAAACGCAACCTTTGGCAATTAAAGACAAAAAAAAAAAAAAAAAAGATTTTTTTTAAAGATACACATTTATACACATAGTAAAAAAGCTTAGAAGTGGCACCAGCAGATGGTGTAGTGGTTATATCACTGGAGTCCCATGTGGTTGACAGCAGTTCAAGTCCTGGACTCAACGGCTTAAACTCACATGGAGCATGTATGCGTGCATATCCAAAACCCTGAGAGGACAGTGGAGAAGGGACTGCAGCATGGCCATCCCCCGGTGGGGGGGGTGTGACTTCGCTTTCTGTCTCTCTGGTGAGCACACACACCCTAGAGCAAAAATCTCTCTTCAAAAAAACAGACAAACAAAAAAACCCCTCAGAAGTAAATGTACTAATGGATATGTACAAAATAAATACTAAAATAAATCCACCCGAATATCAAACTGCAGTAGAACTATGCACGGGTCTATGTTCTTCTGAAGTTCTCTGTTAAACGTTTCCTATAGGTGAGCATGGGTTAATACTGAAACCAGGGAAGGGGACCTTGAGGATCAGGGATCAGAGGAAGGTAGTCCGCACACTGACAGGAAGTCACTGTTTCATTACCACTTTTTAAACAGATCATTTACTCGGAACTCTTACTAGTACAGACACATTTTTCTCCATACTCAGGTCTAAAAAATCAGATGGGAGGCCAGCAGGTGGTGTGGTGGTTGAGGCACTGGATTTCCCACATGGCAGACTGCAGTTTGAGTCCCAGATATGGTGGCTTGCTTCTCACTCTCCCTTTCTCTTTCTTTCTCTGGCAAACTCATGTGAAAATAAAATAAATAATTCTAAACAAACAAACAAACAAATAAATAAATCAATGAAACCAGACGAACTGCGGTCGCAAATTCGGAAACAGAAAACAACTCACAGCAAGTGTAAACCGACAGGACAAAGGTCTGTTTATCCTTTTCTTCCTCCATTACCTTTATGGTTCTGTCAGCAGACCCAGTAACGAACCACTGATTTCCCGGTTCCACGGCGATGCAGCGAACCCAGCCCAGGTGCCCACTGATGACCTGTGGGGGACAGAGAGAACTCAGTGACACACGGGGTCAATGTACTTGGTGTGAACCCGACCCAGGCACGACTGCCCCACCGTATCTTCAAATCAGACATGTATGAGATCTGCCAGATTTTGGAAAGACAGGAAGTTATCTTCACTGGGTAAACAGACAGCAAATGTGCTGCCTCTAAAAACTACAGTTATGTCATGACATGAAAAAAATGCGCTATTAGCACACAAAACACAACAGGTCTCCAAGGCGTGGCGCTAACTGAAGACAAGTCCCCGTGAGCACACGCCACTCCAGGCCACTCCTGCGGCACAGCGGACAGACACTGCAGGGACAGGAGCAGACCTGGGGGCCCGGAGTGAGGGGGCGTAACTATAAAAAGCCGGCACAGGGGGTTTCTGAGATGGTGTCACTTATGCTTTGGTTGTGGCAGTGGTGACCCGAATCTACACATCTACTGAAATTCATTCAAACTCACATTCCTGAATTTATTGTCTGCTCTCCTTACTCATTAGTCTTCCATCCAAATTTTACACTGTATTTAATACGATTAGATACGATGATCAAATTCAAGTCTTTTACTGTATTATCATTTTAAAAAGAAAAATGTTAAGATTCGGGTAGCTGGGCCGGCATGGTGGTTAAGGTGCTGGACTTGTACATGGCCAACTGTGGTGTGAGTACCAGACCTGGTGGCTTGCTTTCTTTCTCTCTCTCTGTCTGTCTTTGGTGAGCACATGTGCCCTAGAGCAAAGTGAAAAATAGTAATAATAAATAAAACTAAGTAATTCTTTTAAAAAAATACAGTTGGCATGTATTCCCTACCACATACATTTTATTTTAGATGGGATACATTTTGAATCATTTAATTTACTATAGTTGAAAAAATTATTGGTAGGTCCAAAGAATTTTCTTTATATGTTTTCCCTTCAGCTTATAAATACTTCACATTCCTAAATTTTTGTCTGCTCTCCCTTACTTAGCAGTCTATCCAAATTTTATACTGTATTTAATACAAAATACAGGTACAGCTCTGACTGAAGGAAATTTCCTTCCTAAGAGGTCTTTTAAGTCAGTGCTGAGCCCCTTCTTATCCCCTCCTCAAATCAATCTGCCAGTTTTCATATTCATCCCTTTCCTTCATTATTCTGTTCTTCAGCCCTGGTCAACAAGAGCAATCAGGGCCCACCCAGGGAAACAGATGCAGACTCACTCACCCTGTAGAGCTTCCACGGTGGGTGCCATTGGGGCTTTGGCATTGTGGGGGCCTTTTTAGCCATCAGTGCAGAATTCTTGGTGTTACCAGTCTCCATAACAATCTAAACATGTGAAAGAGATTACGTCATTATTAAATATGTCATAGCTAAAGTTTCATGTTATCAGTTCACACAAAAGTCAAAAGTTCAAACACAGCAATCAAAAGAGGACATTTATAAAAGGTTTTTTTTTCCTTAAACAAAGGGAAAAAAGTGAGAATTATTTTTGTACCAAGAAAATGATCCTAGGACACCTATCAGAACTGTATTTTCTTTACATTAATTTTAAGCAGAAGTTAAAAAGCCTCAGAGGGGCAGATTATCATTAAAAGCACATTCATTGGGGACCAGCAGTTAGTGTAATGGCTATGTGGCTGGACTCCCATGTAGTTGACCGCGGTTTGTGTCCCGGACCCAGTGGCTTAAAACTCATGCCGGGTGCATGTGCATGCGTGCCCAAGATCCCGAGAGGAGAATGGAGGAGAAGGGACTGCGGCATGGCCATCCCTCCTGGGGGGTGATTTTTTGCTTTCTGTCTCTCTGTCTCTGTCTGTCTGGAGAGTACATGCGCCCTATAGCAAAAACCTCTCCAAAGGAAGAAAGAAAAAGCACATTCACTGTGTATGAACTAAAACTCGGCTCCGATTACCAGCTGACTAACCTTGGGTAACATTAAGAAACCTCTCTGCCTCTCATTTGTAAGAGGGGAGAACAATGCCTATATCACAGGGCTGTCACAGAGATTAAGTAGTAGTAGATGCTCTGTGTAACTCCTAAATGACTCCAGACATTTTAGATGGAGCAATGGCGCTGCCTCTCACTGTCACATCTTAACACTGACTTACACAGCAGAGGAGAGACCCACAGCCCCTTCTATGTGTCTTCCAATGTCTTATCTATTTACTTTTATGACAGGGAGTACCTGCATCTGCATCACAGAGGAGACAGAGACAGAAGCTCCCACAGCAAGGTCTCACACAGTGCACTCCCCTTTCCCCAGCCCTCCGGCTCCACACAGTCTGTGCCTGGCCCAGGAATCTGAGCCTGCAGTCATGTGGCTTCCAGCCTTGCGGGTCATCTGCCATCTGCCTTTACTACTGTCCCTGAAACCACTTTCACCAATAGCCAAAGCAACTATTTACTGACAACCTGAGAGCTTAAGAATTACTACTGGCCCACAGCAGCCAGGCCATGTAAGATATTTAAATACTACTTTAAAAGTTGTACTAGTTGTACTGCTGGCATGGAGGTTAAGGTGCTAGATTTCCACATAGCCAGCCACAGTTGAAGTCCCGGACCCTGCGACCTGAAAAACACACTGGGCCTGTGTGTGTGCATCTGGAGAATCATAAGAGGAAAATGGAAGGAAGGGATTATGGTACAGTTTCTCATTTTCCCCCTCTCTCCATCTAGCAAGCGAATACGCCACATGGCAAAAATCTTAAGTGGGGCAAGTGGGTGGCACAGTGATTAAGGGACTAGACCCCCGTATTATTTGACTGTGGTTTAATTCCAAGCGTGGTGGCTTGAAACTCACCCTGGTGTATGTGCATGTGTGCCCAAAATCCCGAAAGAATGGAGGAGAAGGGATTGCAACGTGGCTCCCGCTGTCCCACTCTGAGAAGATGATTTCTCGCTTTCTGTCTGTCTCTCCAGTGAGTGCACACCCCCTAGTATGAAATTTCTCTAAAAAAAAAAAAAAAAACTTAAAAAAACTTAAAAAAACATTATATGGGGACCAGCAGGTGACGTAATGGCTATGTCGCTGGACTCTCGTGTCGACCATGGTTCGAGTCCCAGACCTGGTGGCTTAAACTCACACTGGGCACGTGTGCGTGCCCAAGATCCTGAGAGGAGAATGGAGAAGAAGGAACTGCGGCATGTCCATCCCCCCTGGTAGTGATTTCTCACTTTCTGTCTCTGTCTCTCTCTCTCTGTCTTTCTGGCGAGTGTGCGTGCCCTACAGCAAAAACCTCAAAAATAAAAAAGTTAGACCAGCTGTGGCATCAGCAGAAGACATGGTAGGTAAGGCACTGCATCCTACATGGCCGACTCTATGGCCCAAGTCCCAGACCCAGCAGCTTAGAAAAGCGTGCCAGGAGCCTGTGTGTGCAAGCACAAAACGCCAAGATGAACACGGAGGAGGGACTGCAGCGTGGCCATCTCCCTAGGGGGTGGTTCCTCACTTTCCCCCTCTTCTGTCACTCTTGGTAAGTGCATGTGACCTATGGCACAAAAGTCTACTGAAAGAACAAGTTGTATTAGCTAACATAGCATCTATTGCTAGCGTCTACCCATTCATCCCCAAAACCTTTAGGCCCATAAAGTTCCTGCCCTCAAGAAGCTTGAATTGGGAACCAGCAGTTAGTGTAATGGCTATGTCGCTGGACTCCCACGTAGTTGACCGCGGTTCACATCCCGGACCCGGTGGTTTAAAACTCATGCTGGGCGCGTGTGCGTGCGTGCCCAAAATCCCGAGAGGAGAATGGAGGAGAAGGGATTGCGGCGTGACCATCCCCCCGGGGGGTGATTTCTCGCTTTCTGTCTCTATGTCTCTGTCTGTCTGGTGAGTGCACGTGCCCTATAGCAAAACCTCTTAAAAAAAAAAAAAAAAAAGCTTGAATTATATTCTTCTGTGGTGGCAGAGCATGGACAGAAGCCTGCTCCGAGTGGGAGTGGATGAGCGGGTAAACGATGCACCGGGAGGGTCACAGATTCACTCACTTCATAAGCTCAAAGCTCCTGGCACAGCACACTGAGGAAGTAAGCCCACACCTATGGCAAATGACAGCATAACAGAATTGAGCTGCAGGTTCTCAGGTGTTCTTCCTGAAACTACTCTCACCAACAGTAAAAGCAACGATTTACTTGTAACCAGAGAGTTCACGTATTTACTTTTTAATTGTCAGAGAGCACGTGCCCTCGCTAGAGAGTGAGCGGGTGGGTGGGCGGGTGCACGCATTTTCCTCTGTATCTCCATCCTACCAGGATTTGGGGCACCCATGCCAGCGTGTTTTCAAGTTGCTGGGGCCAGAATTCAAACCCCTGTTGGCCGTGAGGGATGCAGCTCCCTATGCACAGAGCTTAACGACAGAGCAGCCCAGAGTTAGGTTCTGAACGCTCACTTACAGGACACTTCTTGCATATTCCCTGAACATCATAATACCAACAGCACTCAACTGCAACTGTATATGCCAACTCTAAGTTTAATGAACGAGACTTTCATATCTAACATATCACGAGTTTCAGAATAACACTTGCGTTTTTAATAATGGGTAATAAATACCAACATCACATTATCTTCACCAAAATGTGTACTACAAGGGGCTGGGCTGTGGCACAATGGCAGCGAATGCTCTCCAAGGCTGACCCACAGTGGAGCCTCTGGCATCTCACCCAGAGACCTCTTGTCCTCCCCCACAGAAGAAAGAACTTAAAAAAAAAAAAAACCACATAGAATGTGAGGTCTTCAAAATGTTTATGAAAAATACGTTATTATGAAAATATGTGCAAACTGCCAATTTTTTGCACCAAAATAAACGTACACTTTAATTCCATTTTCCACAAACTTTCTGAGTTAGCCTCATATGTCTAACATGTAAGTACACATAGAAGTATCAAAAATTTAAATTCCAAACAAAAATGTCAGTGATCGATACTTGGCTTCAGGGCTATGAAAGATTAAGGAGCAGCCAGGCTGCTGTTTACCTTAACGATTCTAAGGAAGTGCTCCTTTCCTCAATACTTAAGATAAAGCTTTGGGATAAAAAGAAATGAGACATGTTCCAACACTCGGAAACCTGCAGGGCTGTCTGCTGTGGGAGACTCACCGAGTTCACGGCCGTGGGCTGAGGACGGTCGGCAGCCCCAGGGTGCCGGTACTCGCTTCCACCAGGCGCTGTACGGTTTGCATCCACCCTGAGGAAAAGGAGTACCGTACTGTAAGTAATACCTCCAGTTACGCTCCTACAGAGCCAGCCCTCCACCTTAACTTTGCTAGCTCTGACAGAAGAAAATGTCATATAACACAGTTATAAATGAACACGTTTAACAATACGGAAGACGGGAGCAGTGAAATGTTTCTGGAATCCTGCAATCACCAAGCGTCACGTCTCATACCTGGCCTGAGAGGAAGGCAGTGTCACCGCTAAGGACTGTGCAGCTGACTCACTTGGCATTCTTTGGATCTTGGTATCTGCTGTCAAAGCAACTCCTGTTGCAATAAAAAACCAATTCCTTTTAGTAGGTGTCTTAGTTTTCATTTATGTGCATATAAAATAAAATACTGAAGGAAAACATACACTAAATTATTATCTCTTAAAAAATGTAATTACATTTCATTCATCTTTAACTTTTCACAAATAAATATTGCTTAAAAACACAACTTAGAGGACCAACAGTTGGTGTAATATTGCTGGACTCCCATATACTTGACTGTGGTTCAAGTCCTGGACCCAGTGGCTTAAACGCACACTGGATGTGTGCGTGCGTGCCCAAGATCCCGAGAGGGGAATGGAGGAGAAGGAACTGCAGCGTGGCCATGCCCTCTGGGGGAGAGAGGGTGATTTCTCACTTTCTGTCTCTCTCTTTCTGATGAGCGGACATGCCCTATAGCAAAAATCCTCTCCAAAAAAAGAGAAAAAAACACAACTTGGGCCGGCTGGTGGCACAGTAGATAGGGCAGCTGGATCCCACACGACCGCACGACTGACTGGGCAGTTCGAGTCCCAGACCCACAGGCCTGGAAAACATAGTGGGTGCTTGGGCATGCATGCCCAAGATCTCAGGGGGAGACGGGAGAAGGGATGTGGCATGGTCACCCCATCTGGGGAGTGCTTTCTCACTCTCTTTGGCGTGCACACAAGCTTGATAGCAAGTTTAAAAAACAAACAAAACACAACTCAATAAAGGCACTTTGGTAATAAAACAGCCTAAGATAGTAAAGTTAAATTCTATTATGTTTGGATATCACCTTCGAAAGCAAAAATTAGACAATTCCTCAAGTACTAACGTGATGCCTTCAAGAGCGTTAAGTTACTGCAGAAAGCATCCAATCCCCCTTTTCTCTCTACACAAGCTCTTTCTGTCCTCCACCCCATTATGCGGGCCACTCCTCCACAGACACACACTCATTTTTATCACCCCTGCTTCTACAACAACACTTCTCTAATATAAGCTTAGTGAGAACTGTATGTCTGTCGAAACCACCAGATAAACTTGGCGAGCAGTCTTACTGTCTCCAAACTCCTGGGACAGTGCCTGAAAAAACATATGTGCTTAAGAATGTCTGTTGAGGGACCAGCAGTTCGCGTAATGGTTATGTCGCTGGACTCCCACATAGTCGACCACGGTTCCAGTCCCAGACCCGGTGGCTTAAAACTCATGCCAGGCGCGTGTGCGTGCGTGCCCAAGATCCCAAGAGGAGAATGGAGGAGAAGAGATTATGGCGTGGCCATCCCCTCTGGGGGATGATTTCTCACTTTCTGTCTGTCTATCTGGTGAGCGCACGCACCCTATAGCAAAAACCTAAAAAAAAAAAAAAAGGATGTCTGTTGATGGGGCCAGCAGGTGGCGAGGTGTGGTGGTTAAGGGTGCTGGACTCCCACATGGCTGAAAACAGTTCTAGTCATGGAACTGGCAGCTTGCTTTCTCACTCCCCATCCCCACTCTGTCCTTCTCTGGTCAAAATAAAATAAATGAGCAAATAAAGCTGAAAAATAATTATTTTTCAAAAAAAAAAGTTTGCTGAATAAATGACGTGAATATCAGCTAATTACCCTCAAAAAAGCTACGTGAGTGTATCCTGTATCTTACAAGCAACGAGGATCTCATTACTGACTCATTCATGAAAATTTATGTGGCAATAAAATAAGACAGTTTCCACGGCTCAACTTACCTGGTCCTGGTGGATATGGGTGTGTACCTGTCACCAAATATTCAACCTCTTGTCCTTAAAAAGAAAAAAAGAAAAAGAAAGGAAAAAAATTAATCAATGGTAAATTTACCTTACATATAAGTACTATGAAATAATAAATTATCAACTAGCGTTCTCAAATTATCCCGGCTAAACTCAAGCCCCAGAGGTGAGAGAGGTTGATCACTTACTTGCTTTCCCCTCTGTAAATCACATACACGGCCATCTCCTTGCACAATTTCCAATGTGAGGTCAAGAAAGCTTGTGCATTTGCTACACATAAAGGCATGCAGGGGCCTTCCTACCAACTGACAACCCACTCGGTTTTTCTTCCAAGCAAATGGTTTCCTAAGGAATCTTGGATTTTCTCTATTCATCTCAATGTCAGAACTTAATTTCATCTTTCTGAATTACAGCCAAGACAGATGATCTCCCCAAACAGGAAATAGTCTTCGAATTTCTCCTTTAGTCCCCACTGTGAGTTTCTTAATTTCCTAAGAATTCCTGCCACGATTACACCACTCATTTCATTTCCCATAAAAGGAAAAACGCCACCAATCAATCTCACTACTCCCAGGAGGAAATGAAGTCTTCTGTTCTAATACGGGAAGAGCCTAAGGAACACCAGCAGTTCTAGGGGAGGCACTAACGGGGCATTTCATTTGTTTTCTACCTTTAAACTTCACTCGTCTAAGTCTTGACGTTTCTGATAGCACCACACTCACCTTGATTGGCAGGGTACTGTTTATGAGCGTACGAATCCGCAGTATTCTGAGGGCCCTTCTCTTTAAAATTTTCTTTTGAAGTAGGCATATGCAACACAGGGCCATACTCGTTACGAAGCTTGATTGCCATTTTTCGTTTGTGACTATTTAAAAATTACAAACATAAGAAAGTATCCATAAACGTATTTGCCAATGCAAATGTTTACATATGGCCAGGAAACAAGTCTTTATACAGCATAAATTTGCCCAATCATGTAGAAAAGGTTTCTAGAAACTTTTTTTTTTTTTAAAAAATAAGGATTTTTGCTCTAGGGTGTGTGCACATGCCAGAGACAGACAGTAAGAGAGAATTCAACCTCCAAGGGGGATGCCCACACTGCAACCCCTTCTCCTCCATTCTCCTCTTGGGATTCTGGACACACGTACACACACGCCCGGCATGACTTTTAAGCTGCTGGGCCCAGCCCTCAAACCATGGTTGGGTGCCCAGCGATGTAACCATTACGCCATCCAGTGATCTCCTCTAGAAACATTTTAAAGTCAATGGTATTTTCAAGAATCCAAAATTTCCAAGTGCATTTCTGTACCATATCTTACTTTTGCTCATAATCCATCACACATCATTCACGAAACCTAGGTGGTATTTTAGTTTGTAAACTAACAGATACGAAACCTTTCATGATGAGTGATGGAGGCGCCAACTGACCTTAAAATATATAGAAATCAATAATGTACCCTTTAGAAAGCCTCAAAATCAGTATACTCTCTGTGTCTAAATATCGAAATACTGAAAAATCCCATATAAAGCTGGCCCAAGTACTCAATTAGTTCAGTATTTTAAAAAGAAACGCATTTACAATACTTTTAAAAAGAGTCCACTTAACACTTAATACATTAAACAGAAACGCTTATTTAAGGAATTAGAGTTCAAAGGAAGGGTAAAGAACAAAGAAGGAACCCTGTACACAATGCAGTCCCAGACTGGAGCTGGAAATGCAGAACCAAAACTATGCCCTCACTCAAAAGTCTCCACCATAGTACCGAGAAAAGGAGGAGAGGTGCTGGCCAGGTACAATTCCAGCTCAGCAAGGCTCTGAGAGAGCGGGAAGCTGAAAGCACATACAAAGTGAATGATTATAAAATAAAATACCCAAAAGACACTCCTAATTACTGAGTATTTGTAAAATGTAATTAATGAATGACATCTGTACTGCCGAGGCCAAAAGAAAAAGTTAAATCGGCTTAAATGATGTGAAAGTGACCGACTAGCGTGTAAGCTGTCGGTATTAATATAATTTTAAATGCGTCAGCCATGGAAACAGGACTATACCTACCTCTCTTCATCCAAAGGCACAGGTTTCCCATTGTCAGCTACAAACATGTCGTGGGTCCTCTTCAAAGACCTGAACACGAGTGTGTGTACGGAATGTTTCTGCACCTCCTGGAGAGAGAGAGCACCATTACACATCTAGCTACAAGCCACACATCCCATAATAACCTCCATCTGCAATTGTACATCTATCAGTACGTAAACCGCTTTATACCACCCTCCAAAGCCACTCCTAGCGGGCCACCGGAGTCAAGTTCAGAGAGGAGGACGAGGAGGAAGCTCTTCTTTGGCCAGAACCCCAGGTATATTGCAACCGAGCAATGCCTGGGATGAGTCATGACCTAATAAATATGTACTGATCTATCGTTCTGTGTCCCTCCGCTAACAACTGAATGATGAAAAGGCAGCCATGGTCCCCGTGCTCAAGAGAAAACAGACAAAAACAAGCAAAGTAATTCCACCATGTTGGTAAGTGCTATGAAGGCAACAAGGAGCTGAGTCTGAGAACAAAGAACTGAGCGTAATCATGAACGGTCTCTCTGAGATGCTACTGATGCAGAGAAAGTTCTTTGCAAAGAGCAGAGATAGGAAGAATCCAGATCCAGAGGAATAGCATGTACAGAGGTGTTCAGCCACTGAAAGAATGCGGAGAGCGCAGAAAAGTTACTGTTAGGTGAGATTGTGGCTTGATGTGCAAGATGAGGTGGCAAGGGTAAACAAGGTCGGAATGTCCCAGGGTCACTTCAATCATCACAACAGACTATGTGTTTGTTCTAGTAACAGAGGGACTCAAGAAAAGCACGACCAGCTTATGCTTCAAACAGAATAATTCATACAACCAAAAATGGAAGCGTGGAGACGAGTGGGAAGCTAATGCGCCAGGACAGGCTGGGCTGCTGGGCTGAACTAAGGTGATGGCAGTGAACGTGCACAGGATTGAACGGGTCAAGAACGACCTGCGATGAGGACAGGCCTGCTAACAGAATGGCCGCTCAAGCTAGGAGAAAATGTGCAAATTCAAGAAAGGTCGTTTTCCCGGGGTAGAACTGGAATAAGAGATGAACTGAAGGAATAAAACAACCCGGTAGTCTTCCAGGACGGTCACCGCCACGACCCTGCCGACCCTGCCAGGGCGAGGACCAGCGGCGGAACAGCAGCAGAGGCCACGCCTCCGAAGCCGGCGCCCGGCTCCCCAGGGTGGGCCGAGCGCCGGGCAGTGTCTCAGCAGGCTTCCCGCCCGGACTTGGCCTCATCGCCTTCTCAACCGGCCTCTGCCCCCGAAACCATCAGGAAGAGCCCACCCGCCTCGGCCGACAGCTGCCCTCGTCGCCCGTTCTCCGCCGACTCCCAGCACTCTCCGCCCCCACGCCCGCTGCCAGAGAAAAAGAGCCCAGAGCACCCGACTCTCGAGCGCCCAGGCGGCACCCTACCTCGACCATGGCGCTGCCCCTTATTCCTTGACCCGCAGAGAAGAAACGCTAATCGCCGACGCAGAAAGCACCGCCACAACCAGGCAGCGCCTTCCGGAATTGGGCGCCTGGCGCCGGATGTGACGTAAGCTCGGCGCCCGCGCTCCGAGAGCCGGTCAGCCTCGGGATCCTCTCGCTATCGCCCGCCTCCGGGGCGGACCCTGGGGCGGAGCCACCTGACGGGGCGGGGCCTCGGGCGGGGCCTCGGGCGGGGGCGGGGCTTCCAGCGGCGCCTGCGTGGAAGGCTTGGCTCACCTGCTCCGGCCTGAGCGCAGCAGTGGCGAAACGGGACCCGAGAGGGTGGCAGCGTTCTCTGCTTTGCTCTCAGCCGCGTGCTTTTTGGTTGGTTGTGCTCTGTTCCCGGAGGCTTTATTGCGTTTCATATGAGAACTGAAGAAATCGGTTCTAGGGCCGGTCTGAGGAGGGTTGCTTCCTCTTCGGTCTCCCAGCCCTGCGGCAGCATCTATCTGGAAGCACTGAGGCGCCCTTGCAGTCCTTAGCGCGTGGAAACGATTCCTCTTACCAGTCCAGCCAATTGAGGGACTGTTAGGAAACAATTGTTTCGGCTTGAGGAATTTTGACTTGTAGATATGCAAAATATCAGCAATTTTGCTTAACAGCATATGACAAAAACCCACATTGATTTTCTGCTGTGTAGATTTTTCCTCCAAACTGCATAACGCTTGGTCCTAATCCTGTGCTGAGGCAGCTTCAGCAATCCCGGGGTACAAAGCCGGTAGGAGAAGCGGGAAGCACGCAGCTGGGGCCTGAGCCCTTTCTGTTCGCTGGCTCCCTGGTGCGGAAGTGGTGATGTTTAGTTCTGTACTCTACCCAGGTAAAAGCTGTGGTGGGAGCCATCCTGCTCAGTTCTTGGTAAGAATTGATGGAGTTGGACATTTGCGAGCTTGTTCAAGCATTCCCCCGCCCTGCTTCCTCCTTCACCGCAATGAATTTCGTTGGTCCTGCCCCTGTTAGGGATGAATGCACAGACCCGGCGCGATGTTCCTGGTACAGTAAGCCAGCTTCAGAGACAACCAGAGTCGGCCCGGAGGGTTTCATTCAGGAAGGTACCAACCAGAAGAGCGTGGAGTCCAGGATTTAATGTCTGTCTCCACCATTGAGGGACCAGCAGGGCTTTAAGCTTAAATCAGGAATGTGACAACTCAGGGTCTGGGGGCAGGGATGCAGGGACTTCCAGGACTGTTCCTATGATGTCCTCTTCGATGGATGGTGCTGTGTTTTTGATTCTGGGCTGCCTAGAGGAGGGTTCGGAGCCTGGTGTTGCCGCCAGGTATCTGGGCAAAGAACTCTAGGCCGAGAACTCTTAGGGCACCTGATCTCTTACGTCTCTGGGCGCTGCTGTGACTGTGTCTTGCAAAAGTGGAACAATGAAGACTGTCGCGGTGTGGTCACTGCAGGACGCGCTCACGGTGCAGAGAGTGCCGATTCATCAGGGAGACGGCGCGAGCTCACCTTACTACTTAAGGGACATTACCCAGGACTCCAGGCTGTATTTCTTTTTCTTTCTTTCTTTCTTTTTTTTTTTTTTTTTTTTGAGAAGTATTTGCTCTAGGGCAAGTGGACTCCCCAATTTGCTATAGGGCACGTGCACTCGCCAGACAGACAAAGAGAGAAAGAGGCAGAAAGTGAGAAATCACCCTCCCCCAGGGAGGATGGCCACACCGCAATCCCTTCTCCTCCATTCTCCTCTCGGGATCTTGGACACGCAGTCACATGCGCCCGGTGAGAGTTTAAGCCACCAGGTCTGGGACGGGAACCGCGGTTGACTACATGGGAGTCCAGCGACATAGACATTATGCTAACTGCTGGTCCCACATATTCCTTTTTTTAACGTGGTAAATACTATATTTAAGAATACTACAAAGAAAACTTATTTTTCCTTCTTGGGCTGGTGTCATTCCCAGGGCATTCTGCTTATGTTTTGAGAAGGGAAAAAATATCTATTGAAAGTACAGCAATGTGAATCAAAACACTCATTTACAAGTTCATTCTTTTTTAATTCCTTCAAAATATTGAGATCATACTTTTACTTTGAAAGTACAATCATCTGTGAATTTGAGTTTGTCCTAAGAACTGATTTTGTGTAAAAATGGCCAGTAATGGTAGACCATGTGCAAGGTGAGGACTTGAGATGTATACTTCAGGAATTAGATGTTTTAAGTTACTAGAGGGACCAACAGATGGCGCAATGGTTATATCACTGGGCCAACAACGTAGTTGACTCAGGTATGAGTTGGGGCCTGGGGTCTTAAAACTTAACTCTGGGTGCGTATGTGCCCAAGAACCCAAGAGGAGACTGGAGAAGGAGGGATTGCAGCGTGACCACCCCCCTACCCCACCCCACCCCGCGGAGGGGTGAGTTCTCGCTTTTTGTCTCTCCTGGTCTCCAGTGAGTGCATGCCCCCTACAGCAAAATCCTCTCTCTCTCAAAAAATAAAGTTACGTAGGGACCAGCAGTTAGCATAATGGCTAACTGGACTCCCACATAGTTGACCACAGTTCGTGTCCTGGACCCAGTGGCTTAAAACTCACGCCGGGCGTGTGTGTGCATCTGACCAAGATCCTGAGAGGAGAACGGAGGAGAAGGGATTGCAGCGTGGCCATCCCCACTGGGGGTGATTTCTCGCTTTCTGTCTCTCTGTCTCTCTCTCTCTCTGGTGAGCGCACGCGCCCTATAGCAAAAATCTCTAAAAAAAAAAGTTACGTGTAGAGAGTAATGATACAGAGAAGAACGTGATTTTAAATGGCAGTAAAACCGACAAAGTAGGCATGATTCATGAGTCTACGGCAATAACTTCTAATCGGGCCTATTAATTTGTTGTATATTTAATCACTGGGACGCATTTATTTATAAATCTAGACACGCAAACACATTTCAATGATTAGGGTCATTGCATTATCACTTTGCTCCTTTTAATGAACAGAATAATGTCATCTATTTGGGAGTTTATTTTAGATAGATACAGAGCACAAATGGCTCCCATAGCTCCTTCAAAGACTGCGTGAGCTACGTTTATTGTAAGCAAATTCGTGTTTATGTAGAAATATGCATTTTTTCTTTTTCTTTTTTTCTTTTCTGGAGAAGGAATCCATGAGTTTCATTGGGTTCTTGCAGGGATCTAGGACCCAGAAAGGTTGGACCATCCCTCAGAGGAGGCTGGCTCACTTGTGCTCCTCCACTCCAACAGTAGGGGTCACTATTGTTCTTCATAAGGGCTCAGGGGGTTTTCCTTAAAGCAGACTTGGTGAATAATTTATTAATGGAATATTAATATTATGTCTCTTTGGGACCTTCTTAAGCAAAATTCAAATCCAGGGGTCCTAAAAGTGTTTATAATTTGGTCACATTATTTTAAAAACACCATTTGATTTATGTTTATGTATACGTATGATATATATACATGTGTGTATGTTGTGTGTATACATGTTACATGTTTTATAAAGTTGAAAGGCAAATGAAAACTTGGGACGATATATATATAACATTTATGTTAGCCAAAGGACTCATTATATTGATATTTAAAAAGTTCTGACAAATGAAGAGAAGAACAACCCAATAGAAAAAGTTATATTTTAGGCAGTTCACTTTAGTGATTAATAAATCTAAATAAAAAAGACCGTCAGTGTGCCTCATCATGAAAGAAATGTTACAACAGCAATGCGCTATCATATCTCACCCAACCGATTGGCAAGACAATTTTCAATTTCACACAAGGCAGTTTTGGCAAGGATGAGGGAACAACCTAAATAAATATTGATGAGAGTATAAAAGGAAACAATACTTCTGACAGGCAGTTTAGCAGGAAACTAATAATTTTTTTAAATTAAATTTGCTGTAAGAGACATTTGCTCACCAGAGAGAGACAGAGAAAAAGAGAAGGAGGGAAAGTAAGAGAGCACCCCCATAGGGGTGGTGCAAAGAGAAGGAGGGAAAGTAAGAGAGCACCCCCAGAGAGGTGGTGGAGCCCCTCTCCTCCACTCTCCTCTTGGGATTTTGAACACACGTGCACACCCCATCGGCATGTTTTCAAGCCACTAGGTCTGGGACTCTTAACTGCGCAGTTGACCATGTAGAATCCAGCTGACTTGACCTCCACGCACCTGCTGGCTCTAATAATAAAGATTTTTGCATGCCTTTTGTCACAATAGATTCACTTCCAAAACATGTACTTGGGGTGAATATATGCATACGCTCTGTGTGTGTGTTCCTCTTCACGCGTGTATGTGTATACATATGAAAGATATAAAATATCTTAATATGTTCGCTTTCCTGGGAAAAGACTAGCATATCCATAAAGAGAACACACAGCCCTGTGTGTGGGCAACACAAAGAAACTGCACTCCGGTAAGTGAGGGATAGACAGCCGGAACCGGGCTCAGCGCCCTCTGCCACCTCTCAGCGGGGTGGCCTCGGAACTCCTTTTTGTAACCCCCCATGTGACCATCAAACACAGAGGGCCGGTAAAACGTGGCTGGCTCCGTAAGCTGTATCTCAGTAGCAACCCCACTTGTTTTATACACGCACACAGAGATGGGGTGGGGTCGGGGAGCTGTTTATACAGCTAACATAACCGAAAATGTCAGAGCTCAGCTTTCTCAGACTGGCAGCTTCTGTTTACATCTCGATCTAAACGCACAGTAGGCCTCAATACGCCCCCAAGGAAGCCTAGTCTACCAAACGTTAGTTCCCAAAGTAGATTGAAAATTTTTTTTTTTTGAGAGGTTTTCACTATAGGGCCTGTGTGCTTGCCAGACAGACAGAGAGAGAGACATAGAGACAGAAAGCGAGAAATCACCCCCCAGGGGGGATGGCCACGCCGCAATCCCTTCTCCTCCATTCTCCTCTCGGGATCTTGGGCATGCACGCACAAGCGCCCGGCGTGAGTTTAAGCTACCGGGTCCGGGACGCGAACCGCGGTCAACTACGTGGGAGTCCAGCGACCCAGCCATTACGCTAACTGCTGGTTCCCTAGACTGAAATACTGAAACCATGGCGGGATTGAGGGGATTTTGAATCCTGTGTCCTAGAGCACACTTCATCGGGGTGAACCTGTCTC